ACTTCTTTGAGACTATTAGCTTCCGTCACGCTTATTAATGCTCATCAGGCAGCCACTAAAGATGAAAAATGGCTGTAAACTTACCAAAACTCGCATACAAACCAAACTTCAGCTGTTATTATAGCTCAGCGAAACAAAATGACTTCGTTAGAATGACGTTTCCAGAAATGTCGAGCCTTCATTGTTTTAGAACAGCATCACCTTCCATAGTAACCCATAGTAATAGGGATTCACGAAATCCTATGGATTGTTTTTACGTAGAAAATCACTCGAAACCGTAAAAAGTCCCAGGTATCAATGGGTTAAGACAATAGGTGGGTTCACACTGGACTCTTTAAGTGCACTTGAGACTAACTTGTGTGTGAACAGGTCCTATTTCACTTGACTGATCTTGACTAGTCGTTCTTAGTTGCCACAGAAACTTCAAAACCTCAAAATGCCGAAGTGCGCTCTCAAGTCAGGTCAAATCCTTTCTTGAGACTGCACTTATCCAATTAAAGCGTCGGAAGTTTATTATCAAACTGTCAATCATCTCAAGCCAAAACTTTCACTCTCACAAGCGAGCAAGAGAGAAATAATGATCGAGAATACTGATCTCCACAAAATGTAAATGTAGGCTTTTCTCAATTCTGATTCATGACAAACAACGTTACTCTAAGACTTAGCTGTGGAAACGAAGTGACTTATGTTTCACAAAGAGCGATTTGCCTCTTATGCGTTTTGTTGGATGCATTTTATTCCTTTTTTTCAACTCGTTCAAGCCATGATTTTTGTGTCCACCTGCAGTAATAAGCAGTCATAATTTACAAGATGAGACAGCCTCAAGACTCATGAAAGAAACAGAAAGCCACCAAATTTACTCAAAAAAATTTAAGCGAACAAGAAAAGTTCAAACGAAACGGAAGTAGCAGCGGAGCTCTAGCAAAATACTTGAAGCAACGAGCTCAAAATACCGGCAAGGAGAGCTTTTACAACACCAAAGGAGGTTTCCCTGTATCGATTACTTCGATGAAACTATCTGTCGCATTGTTATTCTTTTGTTTTGGTACTGTTGAAGAAGACTGTTGTCAATAAACGGAAAATCGCCTTTTGCAATAGTTCTACGGCTCTAGTCTTCGCAGCCGCTTTAATTGAACACATGTACGGGAGCGTTTTCCTGTGCTATTAAACTGCGAGAGAAAGATTACTTCCAAAACTGGAAAAAAAGTGCTCATCTTAACTTTAGTGTGAACGCCATTTCTTGGCAAAAAGCTGACTGCACTTCAAGTGTTTTTCAAGTACACTTGAACTCAAGTGTACTTTAACTGCACTTCAGGGTGCTAGTGTGTACCGACCTTATGACTAACAAGACATGTACAGAACCAGTGCAAGTCATAATTCTATGAAAATAGTGCATTTTTTAAAATTTTGTGCAAGAGGCATTATGGCTCTTGTTTTGCGCTAGTAAGTTTTGAAAAAACCACAATTGCAATCCGCTTCAATCTTTTGTAATATACTATGCCTCCTTCCTTTAAATGTTTTTTTTTTTTCGGATTGTTTATGTCTCACTTAATTTGGTGGCAGTTTCCATTGTTGGAATTTTGATAAATTCCTTCTCACAGCCCTCGGTGTGGGAGCATACCTACTAAAAGTTCAGTGAAACCTTTTAGTATGGTCACCTTCTGTTACAGACAGTTGTCATATTCTTATCATTTTGACTTAACTTTTTTCAGGAAACTTTCCGGGACCGTCTAACCGTCTTGTTCTTTTCTTTTCCTTTTTTTCAGGCAGAGACAACATTAAAAGAGGGGAGATGTTTACTAGATATGGAAGATGTAAAGGTAAATTGACTGATCGTAGTTTTCAAGAAAGTCAATAAGTGAGGCCCTATGCTTGAAAAAACGTTTTACCTTCAGATTGGCAAGAATTCCGATGACTTTAAATGCGGCACATTTGTCAACAAAAAATCTTGAGAGGGTCTGCATTTTATTGAGCTATTTTGAAAAAATAGCTCATATGTCAGTGGTGTGAGCGTATGTATCTTCGTGGCTTTGTATCTTTGTGGCTTTGTATGTTAGGATGTTTGTTGCAAGAGCCAATAAAGTTGAAGGTACTATGAGTTGATGCTTAGGAACCAATGAGATCTTGGCATCTATTTAAACATGGCATTGGTAAAGGTCGAACAAGGGCACTTTGAGACCGCCATCTTGATCCTTCACAATTTTTTCGTCTTTTATTACGGGTACAGGTGTTTGGAAGCATTACATAAAATATCTTCATGATTCAAACGCTGTGAACAGTGATGCAGCTGTTTAAGGGTTCATATTTAAGTGTGGATGCTGCTTCGAGGCATTTCTGACCTAATTCGGCTATCGGTACAACGCACGTCAGTATGAGTTCTGTTTCACCTGCTACAACTGGGTAGAGTATAAAAGATCATATATTTTCAAATCTCTTCCAATGAAGCAATAATTGATATTTAGATATAGACTTTAATTCGAAAGTATGCGCCCTATAAAATGTGGTTTTAGAAGTTTAAAAGGCAGCTTATTTTTTTGAAAGCTGTATCGAGTATTGTTAATCCTGTAAACAAGCTTTAAAAATATTATTCTCTCGCTTACAAAGTTCAACCGACCTTTTTCGTTCTATTTAGTAAAGATGCGTAACTTAAGTAGAAACAGTAGCGTTAGGGAATAAAATTGGAAGAAGCTAGTTGACACAATAATTAGATACTGTTATATTGAGTGGAGTAACATGATATAAGTAGAAATATATTTCGGCAGTTTGATAATTTTCTTGGAAGTTAATAAATGTTAGGCTATCAACCTTGACGTTGCATGAAACATAATTTAATTGCAGATGTTGTAATAAAGCCGAGGTGATTTCTTAAAATCGTTTGAGAAAATTTTGTAGTAAAACAATTTGCCTCTTTTTTACGTACGAATTGTGAAAGGGCCAAAGACCAACATCTTCACATGCAAATTGTGTGCATGAGTTATTTTTATAATTCTGTTTACTAGATTACTGTGTGATAACTCGAATTCCCTCACGTACGAACCACGAAAGGGGGCAAAGTCCAACACTTTCACGTGCCAGCTGTGTGACTGTACATCTCATGCAGATTGGCTTTTCACAATAATAATAGTAACTTGGACGTATGAAGACCTGTTTCGTTTAGTAACCAATGCCTTAAAAAAGGCTCTTGTCTTTTAAGAAGCAATAGCTTTTAAAACATGACGAAATAAGTTGTCGGAGTTAAAGACTGTTTCACAAATGTTAATAAATGTTAGGTTATCAACCTTGACGTTGCATGAAACATAATTTAATTGCAGATGTTATAATGAAGCCGAGGTGATTTCTTAAAATCGTTTGAGAAAATTTTGTAGTAAAGAATTTGCCTTTTTTTAACGTACGAATTGTAAAAGGGCGAAAGACCAACATCTTCACGTGCAAATTGTGTGCGTGAGTTATTTTTATAATTCTGTTTACTAGTTTACTGTGTGATAACTCGAATTCCCTCACGTACGAACGACGAAAGGGGGCAAAGTCCAACACTTTCACGTGCCAGCTGTGTGACTGTACATCTCATGCAGATTGGCTTTTCACAATGATAAATAGTAACTTGGACGTATGAAGACCTGTTTGGTTTTGTAACCAATGCCTTAAAAAAGGCTCTTGTCTTTTGAGAAGCAATAGCTTTTAAAACATGAAGAAATAAGTTGTCGGAGTTAAAGACTGTTTCACTGAGTAGAATCGCACGTGAAAACCGCGTGAATTATGATGATGCAACCATCTACCACCATGATAAAAATCCTGGTATTTCGTAACTATTCAGTATTCGGTGAGTCACATTTTGGCTTAAGAAACTCCGAGGAAACCTTAGAGTTTTCCTTCTTATCAACGTTTGGTAACTAGAAATTTATTTCACTTTTTTTGTTGAACTTGCACCAGATGTAACAGGGAAAGACAGAGGAAAGTGAATATATAGCTTTAGGATCGAGTCAGCTGAGCGTTTCGCGTTTTCATTTATGTACGGCAATACGCAATTTCGCACAAAAACCCATCTACATTTAGATGAAAGACGTAGATTCATCACTCTTGGTAAGGTTACACCGAAGCATTAAAGTTGCACTTACGCATTCAAAAATAGCTCATGCACGTTTAACGTGCCTATGTTTTTGTTGTGCTAGCAGTGTTAGGAGAAAAATACCACGGAGCCCTAGGTTTTACTTCCACTCTTGAAGGAACTGCTTGAATTCCTCACAAATTAACAAAATAACCGTCCATATGGGTAGTTGGTGATTAAAAGATTATTTTAACTGTCAAGGATTATTTCATACAAAAATAAAAATGAAAAAAAAAACCTTCTATCGCAGAAGCACTCCATATAGCCTTCATCTAGACGGAGACCATTGTAGACAGTCGAGCCCTCGATCAGTGCGGTCAGTGATGACGTCAACGATTACGAATCACTGACGCCGAACCACTTCCTCATCGGACGGCCATCACCCTACATGCAGCCCACCCCGTCAATTTAAAAAGCGCGAAGTTAATAGCCACAAGGAATGGAGAATAGCCCAGGCACTCGCGGACGCAAGGAGAGCCTACCTTAAACCCGTCAATCCCTTCCTAATGGTATAAAGAACAGCTAAACTTAAAGGAAGATGACTTTATCGGGTCACAGGAGTCTCAAATTGGTCCCTTGGTAGAGTTCTGAAGACATTTTCAGGAGATGATGGGAGAGTGCGAATGAAGTGAAAGACACCCAACGAACTTTGATGCAGCCTACCGCAAAGTTGTGCTTGGTGGAAAAATCTGCTTCATAGAATGGACAATGCCGAACAATGTTTTACTAAGAACGTTTGTAGTGTAGCAAACTTTTTACTTTATTGCTTGTAACTTAGCTTGTCGTTCATCTTATGGTCTTTCTGGGGAGGGAGAGAAGATCAAGTGGAGCAGCCGCTCGCGATGTTATTCGTGGTAAATTGTAAAATTTCCGTGATTATCCGCGAGAATAACTCGGGAAAACGAGGTCAGTAAGAATTAAAAAGTTGTTGTTGCCTTACAATAGTCTCGACAACGAACTTGTTAATTGAACTAACCACAGGGGCAGTAATAACTGGCAAAAGTACAAACAATGGACTAGGTCATTTGCCTAGGCACATCCTCTTTAAGAACATCACACTCGAAAAGTGCGAATTTACTCTCTTTATTTGATTTTTGTTTCAGATTGTAGAAAAACAACTTGGTAACCTCGTTATGGATATCGGGAACGAAAATGATCCTGTATTTAGGCTCGAACAAATATTGGAAAAAAAAGTGGAGGTCGTGCTTCTATGCTGTTCCATCGGGGCAATAACTATTTACTTTATCGTGCTACTTGTCCTAAGGTTAGTTGTTGTGTTGCTTTTAAGGAAAAACCAGTGCCTTGTCATATCGAAAAACTCGTCCTTAGGTTTATGGAAAACCGTTGACTTGATCTAAAATGTTAATGATTTGTTTCAGAGTGGAAATCACAGAAAAGATTTTTGTGCACGTAAATATGCTACTTTCGCTGGGCATTGCACACCTGGTGTACGTATTGGATTTTACAGTGTTTACCAACAGAGTAGAACATCCAGTAAGTAGTTTATTTATCATCTTGAAACCCATACTAGGCCTTTTTCTATGGTCATCGACAGGTGGGAGGCCAGGGCGAGTAACATTCTTTGAAAACTGCATAATTGATTAGATTACAAAGCCAGAATCCTTTTTTGTCATTCAATATTAAAAAATTCTTACCTTAAAAACAGCTAAAATTCGAAAAAACAAACGAACAACAAAAAAACCATTCTTACATCGATTGATGTTTAGTTCTCTTCATTTGCCTGATCCTCCTCAAATTCAGGATATAAAGGGATTTTTAGCCTTCAAATAGCAGTTGCCGTACGTCTAGTTCTTTTTTTGCTGTTTTTGCTATGTTTTAGGCAGTAGTCTGGCTACTGTTTCGACATTCTCTGCATGTAGACTGGGCAAAAATAACTGTGTCATCGTTTTAATATTTGATATGTCAGCTGCATTCGACACAGTCGAAAATCACATAGTGTTACAAGACTCAGTCGCCGTTTTGGAATCAAAGGAAAGGCACTGGCTTGTATGTGGTTCTTGGTCCGGTCGGTTTTACTTTGTGATGTAATTTTCGGGAAGAAAATCAGGTTTCAATGCAAACGAAACTTTCCGAGACAGTGTTTATTGATCTGTTTGCCTTCTTAAGCTCGATTGGAGGTTTTCCTGATGACTAGCGAAGGAGGTAAAATCAAATTAAGGCAAACGTAGGTGAATTTTGTTCTGTTATTTGTGTTTTTTTTAATGGCCCCTTAAATTGGATATATATTGAATTCAGGCATATACGATTAAGTGCGTTTAAGAAAGCCGTTAATTTTTGGTTACATTATTGCGTACAAGAAATGTTCCTTCCACTTGCAAAAAAAATGCGGTAGAAAGTTTGAATTTTGAAACCAAAATTGTAGATAATATTCTAAAGCAAATTTTGCGTACTAGGTCTTTGTTCCGGCCGCCGGACGATAGCATAAACCAGCAAAATAATGATTGAAAATGGAGGGCCTCAGGAAGTATAGTTTTGTTTTCGTTTAGTTATTAGGGAATTAAGATTCATGAGTCAAAGTGAGGATCTTTCAACTTTGAGTCACATTTTAAATAAAACACTCTCATTAATTGGAGTAAATGATCAAAATCGCGTACAGCGTATATTCGATCCGTCTGCTTGGTTCCAGTTACTATACACTGTTTTTCCGAGTGATGTCCTCAAAAGTTATGATTTGTCGTATACTTTTAACGCCGATGACAGCCAGATATACATGCCCTTTCACCGTCACTGGTGAACCTGGGTACTCCAAATCTAAACGTGTATCCTTGACACCAGTAGTTGGATGAGAGCCAATAGGACCAAATTCAATAACGAAAAAACTGAGCTTTTGGTGCTGAACGCCTTTCATTGCCCCCTTAGGCAGCTAAGTTCCGTTTACGCAATCAGTGAATAAATTGTAGCCACTAACTCGGCTAAAATCATCGGCCTTTGGTTTGAGATCAATCTACAAGCATGTGAAATTTCTTTGCAAGACACCTTTCTGCCAATTACGTAACTTGGCACTATTAAAAGGTTCCAAAAGCACTGTGAAATTCTCTTACATGCCTTTGTTACAGTGTACTTCCGCTAATCAATCAATCAATCTTTTTTTGTACTCTCACTTTCTCAAAAATGAATCACAACAATGAAAATATTAAAAGTAACTCTCTCTTATCTGGTCTATCTGGTCTCCTCAGCATCTGTTACAAAACATATTTAAAATACTGCGGCCAGTTCCCTCACGCACCCAAACAAATACGACCACGTTCCCCACATTTCTTTCTTTTTCAGCAGAAATCGAAAACGTCTTCCAAATTTGGTCCACCCTAGCTGGTTACAAAGAATTAGTCGGGGTATTTGAGCCAGTCAAAAACGAGAAATATTTGGGATGAGATGGTAACAAGTAAGGTTTAAATTTCTAAAATTCGGATATGTACACACTTTTTTATTGTCTTTTAGGTTCTCTGTTCGACTGTTGTGGTAACTCTTCATTTTCTGGAAACAGCTCTGTTAACCTGGATGTTTGTGGAAGGGATAAACCTCTACAACAAGTTGGTCAAGGTTTTTTCGATGCGAAAGCAATACTTAGCTTTCGCGGCAATAGGATGGGGTGCGTTACTTTTCTTGATACTTCTATTCCAGTCATTTTGTGGTTGGACCCGGAACTATAAATGTAACAGAAGCGTTCTCTTCGCCAATCACTTAGGATTAGACTATAAATAAACATACTAAAAGTCCCAAGAGATCCGAGCAAGGGAACATTGCATAACGAACATTTTCTTCCTCCCTCTGTAGCTTCAACAGGATTTAGGCTACGACAGTAAAAATCAAAGGGTCAATAGCAGACACAGAAGTCTGTAAATTCAAAATGGATTATGTGATAAATAACGTCATATAATTTGGTAATCACAGTATTTTCGGACCGCCGTCATCTTGGATCCGCCATATTAAATCCGCCATCTTGAGTCATTGCATGGGGGGAGAGGAGGGGGGGAAAGGAAGCTCTATTGTTTTCGATGTAAGTTCCTTGACCCACTCCGCTCGCCAGTATTACGTCACATAGTAACGGGCAAAAGCCTCGGGTCGCTTGTGCAAATTAGCAAGGGATACGACAGTTATTTGGACGAGCGAGGTCGAGGGAAAGCAAAGAAGCTAGCAAATATCGCTATATATCGCTTATTTGATCGAATGTGTGCGAGCTTTGGTGCTGCTTTAATCTGCTTGTGTAAACCGTTTTGATATTTTGTGTCCGTGATTGTATAATTTTGTTAATTTGTTTTGCGGGCCGTGTTGCGGGATCGCCATCTATTTCACGGGACCGGCAAGGTCATCAAAACGTAAATCTTTTTTTTTCTCTAAACTAGGTAAGGTCTAGTCTCCAGAATAGGAGGTTCCATTCACAGATCACGCATGTTTGTATTTCATCTATTCTTTTGCTTATTAAATGGGCCTAACTTCATATCATTCCTTTCGAGTGTGGGCCCCTGTTGATCTCCTCATTCTCCGCCAAATTCAGTAAAGCTAGTTCGATCGATTATCTACATCGAGTCGGCCCTTTGAACCCGAAATAATGCAAAATAGCTTTGGTCTCTTTTTTTAACACTGTTTTTCCTTTTGGCCTTTCTTCTTTATTCATTTTATTTATTTATTTATTTATTTCGCACACACAAACAATTACAACACATTACATTTACAATTCATTACAGGTAACTGTTATCGTTTACAAAAACGAAATAAAAAAAGAAAAAGAAAGGCAAAGTCTACAAAAATACTATAGTTTTTTTATATATTAACAATTAAGCGAAGGCTGCCTGCCTTATGGTCCTCCATCACCCATCTACCTGTTTGTCACTTGCACTTTAATTAACTGCATTGGTCAAATTATATTCTGAGGGGTATTGTTTGAAAGTAGCCCATTTCTTCCTAAAAGAGGCTAAGTTATTATTATCAAACGCAATCTGTTTCTCAATTTCCATGGAGCGTATGATTAACTGAGTGTTAATCATACGCTCCATGGACTTGAATATACAACATCCGACAAACACAACATGCGACAAACACAAACATCCTAACTACTGCAATGGGCCCCAATATTAGGAAGAGATCAAAACGGATAATGGGCCCCCGTTTAATGGATCGAAGTTTGCGAACTTTGCTCGGGAACAAGGATTCAGACACCGAAAGGTTACCCCTGGGTGGGCTGAAGCTAATGGTGACGTGGAGCGTTTCACGCAAAACCCTCACGAAGAGTGCGAGAATTTCTAAACTTGAAGGAAAAGCTATTCGGGAGGGAGTGCAAAGAACGGTTGGCAACTATTGCGCCACGCCCCACCCAGCAAGAAAGGAAAGCCCTGACATGCTCATGTTCGGTAGAGAGCTACGGAGGAAGCTACCGGAAAGGATCGTACCTGCAGGAGAAATTCCATACGGCCCAATCAGACAAAGACCCAATCAGAGACGTGGCTAAAAAGAAGCAGATGAAAGAGTACGCGGACTAGAGACGTAACGCCCGGGAAAGCCTTATAGTGGTTGGAGACCAAGTCCTTTTGAAGCAGAGTAAAGAAGATGTTCTGACCCCCAGCATTTGATCCCCGACCCTTGTCAGCAATAGGCGTGAAAGGAAGTATGATCACCGTGAAAAGGGGTAGGAAGATTAAATCGCGGAAATCCACCCATTGTAAGTCGCTGAAGCACGAGAGGGAAGATGAGTACGTCGCTATGGAATTGGACCAAGAAGGTCTGGATGCATCCCGCGCGGAAGAAACTGAAACCAAGGAAGATTTGCGTTTGCAACCCGACAACCTCGGCGTATCCAGTGAAATGACAATTGGCGGTCCACGTAACGAGCCTGATGGTCCACCGACATCCTTAGGAGGGACGGAAACGGCGCGACATCAACAGCAGCCTGACAATACTGCAGTATGCGGGCCAAGAAGATCAGCGCGAACAAGAACGTGTACTTGGAACACTATTTACAGCGACTTTGAGCCACACTAGAAAAAAAGGGAGAGATGTAGTGTCGGGTCTCAAGAGACTTAATGTAGGATAATTATATGCGAAATGAGCGTTAACACTCTAACAAAAGAGGACTTGATTTGCATATAGGACAGTGGTGAACAGACTAGTAGGAGGAGCATTAACGGAACTAAAGGCGTATGATGTAACCGTTTATTGAGCCCCATTCGCGACTTTACAAGTATTTTCCCAGGTAGATAACCTATTAGAGCATAAAAACATTGCCCTAAGTTGAACGTTTTTAGCGATTATGTATTACAAAAACGCCTTCAACGTAAGCGTTAAAGAAAGACTTTACGTCTCGTTTCCATGGAGTAATAAACAAGGGTCTTGGAAAGGTCTCAAATGCTCTCAAGTTATCTCGTTTTTAAGCAACTCCCCTTGCTAGGACTCTGTGGGACTTTTGATATGTTATTAAGGACAGTTTGACGAGTCTAAGACAGTTGGAGTATCCTCTGTTGCAATTAGTTTCAGGTTAACCTACTATTTTCTACAAAATGAATGGAGTATTCATGCGCTGAGATTTTTCTCAGAACATTTTAATCAATACAAAAACTTGTTTTATTATTATTATTATTATTATTTTCATTTTGCCTCATTTAAATTAAATATATATACACACAATTCAGAAAGATGATTCAAGGGAGCCCATGCAAGCCAATAAAACTTAAGAAAAGGACCTCCTTTAAACAAAAAAATATGACTTACAGTGCGAGCACACGAACCGAGGCCACCCAGATAAAAGTTTGAGTCAAATTTTGGAATTAGCCAATCACAAGTCGAGATTAAGACAATGAAATTGCGCATAATTGTACGCAGTTCAAAATACGTTGCGAACCATTTTTCTAAAGGATATAAATAAGGATTTAGGACGTTTAAAAATTAAGCTGAAAAATGTTTTGACAACGGATTGCTCAAAATTTCTTTACTTTTGGCTTTGATTCCGGCCAACCCAGACGTTGTCAAAACATTTTTCAGCTTGATTTATTATTATACAACGTCACGATTCTTTATTTACATCCTTTATAAAAATGGTTCGCTGGGTCTGAGTACAATTATGCGCAATTTGATTGTTTTAGATCTCGACTTGAGATTAGCTTATTTAAAAATTTGTCTCAAAATTTTGTCAGGGTTGCCTCGGTTCGTGTGGTCCCACTGTAATTATGAAATAAAATTCTGGCAAGTAAAAATACAAAGCAACATATTCCAAAAAAAAAGAGAAAAAAACAAACAAACAAACTTGATTCTGTGCCCCAGAGCGGGACATGAACTCACGTCTCTCTCTGCTCAGCTAACTGGTCAGGTATGCTTACTACTAAACACGCTGGTTACGCCACAGCGTAAAACCCACCAGTGTCTACTGTAAAATGATACTAAGACTAGCGTGAGAAAATTAATTTTGATTACATTTATTTCAGGAATTCCAGCGGTCATTGTGGGCATTACAGCTGCCATAAAGCCCTCTACGTATGACATGGAAGCACCATTGAAGGAAGTCATATGTGGACCGTTTAAGTTTACTGGACGTCCTGAGAAAGAAAGGTAATCAACCATGTTATATCTTTTCTTCAATTTTTCTCCGATAACCTCTTCCTCTCTCTTTCGTTGTATAATTGTATATTTTTTTCGTAGATGTTGGCTCAATGGAAGTACGTGGATTTACAAAGGGCCAGTCTTGTTTTTTCTGTTGGTAAGAATTGTAAATAACGTCATTTCTACTATAAATAAAGATTAATATATAGATTTAGCCAGGGCTAAAAGCGAGGCTCCCATTAATAAGTTTATAATTTAAATCAAACAATTAACTTGTATTTCACAATTCAGTTAACATTAGAGCACATTCGCTTGACTTTTCAGGGAAAGGCTAAGTGATTTTACAAAAAATAATTTGCAAACAGCCCAAGAGTGAAACAAATCTCACATCGAGTTGATAACCTCATAAGTACACCCAAAAACCGGCGAGCATCTTCGATCACATTTATTAAGAGCCACAATGGCTCTTGATCACCGTAGATTAATTAAGCCTGGAAAAAAAAATTCCGGCCGAATTTTTTGCGTTCGACAAGTTTACTTTACAAAATCTTGCCAACCAATCTGGGCGCGTGTAAACCAACCTTTTATATCATTTATACATCACATCTGAGCTGTAACAGTACTATGAGGCACTGTTTTTATCATACAGACCTCGGACAACAGAATGCAGTATTTCACAATATTGCGATACAAATTGCTATTCAGGACGTTCGAAGCACGCGTGGGCTTTAGCCGTAAACAGTTGAAAAATTTTTCAAAATCATCTATACGGCTAGCCGGTTCTGACTTTTACAGTGCTAGCATTGGCGAGTGTTTGAATGAACATTAACAGGGTTACGCTCCAACATAACAAAGAATTTATTATGTTTATTTTTTATTTTAAAATGGTTTAACGCGCGGCATTTTGAGTACTCCGGGAAGCGTTGTTTACTAAACGACTGAAAACAATCGGCACAACGATGGATCGATTGAAATTACAAGAGAGAGTACTAACAATCAATAAAAGAAATATATTTCGGTGAAACATATACAGAGACGACAATTTTCATTCAGGAAGACAAGTATTAAAGTGTCTCTAAAAATCCTGAGTCTTCGAGCTTAAAGCTGAAGTTTATGTTTTAAGCCGGCTTCCCGGTGTTTGCTTTTTTCAAAGACGAACTCGAGGCATGAATATCGCTCAAACCTTTCTTTTACAGCCAGAATTATAACTAAATATTCTTTGAAACGTTTTCTTTCTATTTGGGGTGGGAAACTGTAAGCTTATAACAAACCTGATACTCGGTCAGATCATTGTCTCAAATCTTACAAACGTGCGTAAACAAAATAGCCGCATAAACTACGCTCGACTTCATTAAATTAGGAATAAAAAACAAACATCAAATACAATAATTACTTAGGCTTACCACTCGAGATGCCGCTCCTGAAAGGTATCAAGTAAGGCCAGTATCGCTTCAGACTTTGCAACCCTCTTACGCATTAAGCAAGGTGAAAACGAAAACGATGCCATCCGTAATCGGTTTCCGACTTTGACTCAACCAAAAACCCAATAAACAAACTAGCCATGGATAACAGAAGACTCCTGATAGCAGCTGAATTTCATTTTGTACATCCAGTGGAAAAAGAAAGTTAAAAACATCTCAAGTTGACACAAAACTCTGTCAGCTTCAGCTGTCAAAGTAAACAAGATTCAAGATGCTGCATAAATTTTCCGCATGAACTCACCTGTCAAATTTTGACCAATCAGAGCATAAAAATTGGACTTAGAGCGTGACCAACGCGTGAACATGGCGAGAAAAGTCAAAAGCAACTGTCTTGCCTGCCTGTAGCAGCTGGCTGAATTTTCGCGTCCGAGGTCAGTTTGAAATCAAAATTTTAATTGTGCGGCACATAAACACAACATATTTCATATGAAAAAAATTAAATTTGAGCCTGCGATCATTTGAAAACCAGTACCTCGTCACCGGATAACTTCAAAAAAACACTTGACCTCGATGGGTCAACACCTGAGCCCGCGATACAGTCAAGTGATACTGGTCAGCGGATACCTTGTTTTGACAGCTGTCAATGGATCACAGCATTGATGTCCAATATGTGTATCAGTTTGCTTGTGTCCGATCCCAAACTAGCTAGAAAGTATGAGACTGAACATTGATCGCGATCTACTAAAATAATTAACTGGTCAGCGGACAGCTTCCAAATAAATCACGTCACCTCAATGAGTTGACACATGAGCCCGCGATATGGTCATGGGATACTGGTCAGTGGCTATCCTGTTTTGACAGCTGTCATTGACCATATTGTGAATGTCCAATGTAAAAGATGTGGACTTGACAAGACACGCCTGAGACACCCCTCCCTTCCTTTTGATAGTCTTCCCTACCCCACCCGTACAATCCGTATACGCGTACGTACGTACATACGTACGTACGCTCGGTCAATCACGTGACAACCAAACGAAAAGAAGTTGACCATAATCCATGAGTATGGGGCTCTGTCCCATGCGCGCTTCGCGCGCGTGCGAGCCCCGCTATAAACACTTACTCGTTTAAAATACAATTAAGACTTAAGGACTTATATAGGGCAAGCACGCGCGCTATGTTATAATACTGAATTTATCACTAAATAAATCGAACCCGCTTTACGGACACCCGCCTAATAAGAGCAGTTTTCCTTATCCCTGAAGAAAGCCCTCACAATTTCTCTAAATTGAACCAGCTTAATTAGCCATTTCGGAGTTGCGTAGGGAAATGAGGCGAGTTTCAAATTAAACTAATCGATAAACTAACACCATCATATAAAAGGTCATGTTGAGATTGGTCATTTGACCAAGTTTGGTGCTCTAAAGTTGAACAGGGCTCAAGTTATGACTTTTGAAACGTGGTTAAAGATCCATACAAACGTCTATAATTTTGTGACAGAGTCCCCCAAAACCATATAAACTCTTTCAAAGTTTTCAGTTTTTCTTTTAAACTGCAACATTCGTCATGCATCTACTACTTGGAAGGAACTAATTCGAAAATCACTGTGTTTGCCCATTTTTAGGAATATCACAGAAATCGTGAAAAAAAATTAAGAGTTTATATGGTTTTGGGCGACGCTGTCACAAAATTACAGAGGTTTGTATGGCTCTTTAACCATGTTTCAAGAGTCATAACTTGATCCCTGTTCAACCTTAGAGCACCGGACTTAGTCAAATCACCAATCTCAACATGACCTTTTATATGATGGTGTCAGTTTATCGATTAGTTTAAATTTGAAACTCGACCTAGTTCCCTACGCAACTCCGAAATGGCCTATACGGACACTTGTCTCTTGCCCAATCAACGAATTCCAAGGAAAGTCAACCTCGCTAATGCAATAAGTGTGTGCTGTAATTAAACTTTTCTTTTGGAAGGTAAAATATACCCTTTGGTGACAGCTTGCTGATGTTCCAACGCTAAAGTCTACCGTATAGAATCGATTTTAGACGTCAATTACAGACTACTTTGCTACTAAACGAGTTATGCAGAGAACGGTGATAGGACTTTCCTTTACAAATAGGCAAGCTTTCAAATACAAGAAAAATAGGACAGCTGATCTGCACTAATCAAATGCCAGAAAATACAATAGGTAATGCAAACTAGCCAATCAGCACAAAGTCCCTGTGACAACGCGTCAAAAAAAGTCTCGTTAGCTGATGGCGGTTCGTCGGCGAACGCTCTTTGCTTCTTGTAGCAGTGAACGTCGTTTTGTTTGGATGCGGTTTTGTTTTGGCATTTGTCCTGGCCATTAAAAAGGAAAATGTATGATCGAACTGATGAAAGTTTGTAATGGAAACATTCAACGATTCTTGAACATGTACTGAAGCACTGAAACTTTGGACAACAATAAAAAACACTGATATAGTTGCGTTTAGATGTTAGCATTACAAAACAAGCGGACAAAGTCTATGGAAATCGTTTGAGGTAATGAATGAAATGTTTATTTTCAATAGTTTTGGTGTTTTTGTTTCAACTACAAATGGACGGGTTCGAATGTACAGTATTTCGTGTCTGTGACACGCTAAAAAATCTGGATTAACTAACTAGCTATATAATTGATAAGTAAGAAGACTACATGCTTGTCTAATTTGAAACTAATTGAATTCAAAAAATTTCTCTGACAGACAAATTTTTTGGCTGTCCTCGGAATTTTTTTCATCCAGTTATTTCCAAATTGGATAGCACGTACTCCTACTACATATGAAAATGACATTAATAGGGACAGCCCGTTGAAACAAACACTTTCAATGGCCCCTCCGTATTAACCGGGCTAGACTATTTTTTTCGTAAAAATATTCTTTTCTCTCTAAACAGGTAAACATGGGGATGTTTCTGATACTTTTGCGAGTTATTTTTGGAAAACTGTCCAATAAATACAACAAAGAGCACGTTAAGTTTGCAAGGTGCTAATCTCTGTTTATTATCTTATCAGTCTTTTTGGGGACGGTGAATGTGATTCCGCTTATGGTAATCATCGTAGTAAGGTTGTGGGGAAAAAGAGTGTGCCTGGGAAAGTTAACAACAGCTACAACAAACACAACAACAAGCAAAAATGGCAACATGCAAAACTAGTTGATGAAATTGTTCCTTCTATCTTTTTATCTGGCACTTGAAAAAGCAGCAAGCGTACACGCCTAGTCTACATCCACAGAGTCATTTCGTTTCAACTGATTACAATACACTACAGTATAACAGCTTACAGCCTTATATTATAGTTACATGTATAATAATAAAATGCGAATAAACATCACCAATTGAAACAAAGGGATCTTCAAGCGAATATACTGTTTGAGAATTTTGTCAAAGATGAGATCACATAAAGATTCACCTTGTAAAGAGATGATTTAAAATTTCGTTACCCTGTTTATAAGGCAAGAGACCTAATTTCTTGACCCTGATTTATATCATTTTGCATACAGATGTAATCAATTTTTAAACTAACATAATGGAAAAAAAATTGTTGGTATCACTCAATCGCCAAGGTTGGCTTACTGAGAGAGGTACCCTACTCAAGAAGCTAAATTATGAAATTGTATATTACACTTGTTTAAGTCTCAAAAGCGTGAAAACCATATCCTATTAAGCTGCACAAACCCGTTTAGGGCAAAGAAGGGAGTACCCTAAATCATGAACTGAATACCATTCAGGTCTTCTTTTACCTTTTCACAGGAAAGGATTACGAAGCATGTTGGCCTTACTTCCACTGTTGGGCGTCACTTTTATTTTGGGATATTTCCTTCAATTCCACATCGCCGTTCAGTTCCTGTTTGTTTTGCTGAATTCCACGCAGGTTTGTTGTTTACACTAGAATAGATATCAACTAACCCGAAATGTCAGAAATTTGTAGCCAATAATCTAGCCATCTCGCCATCTTGGTATTACATTCTATGTTAAAACAAAAAAAAAGGTCATTCAGCCTTTCAGAAAATGTGAAGTGCGATGGAATTAGTTTTTACTTTAATTTAGTCAATAGCTGCTGTTACAGGGGAAAACTCGAACTACAATCGGCGACAAAATTAGTTGAGATGTTTTGCCCTTTAGTGTATTTCTGACGTTTTGCCGTCTTCAAAAGGGTACAATGAAGCTTTCTCTCCCCATTCCCTCATGCAATGTTGTGCTGCTATTTGCGCTATCTCTTGGAGAAAACAAACACCCCAGCTTTGACTGGAGGAGAGGGTATAAAGATGGGAAGGGGGGGAGGAGGAATTTTTTTGTCCAAAGTTACCTCATTTGAGGACATTGTATCAGCAATTTTGTCGCTTATTGTAGGTAAAAAATCAATTTGAGCAACGGGCACCTACAACTAATGGTAATTCGTTATGGATTA